ATAAGCATCTCTTTTATAAGCATCTCTTTTATAAGCATCTCTTTTATAAGCATCTCTTTTATAAGCATCTCTTTTAACTGGTTACAGTTTCTTAATTTAACTCGATTGAAGAGAAATCCTATCCAATGGTTCATGGGAAATCCTATCCAATGTTTGAAGGGAAATCCTATCCAATGGTTCAAGTGAAGTCATATCCAATGGCTCAAGTGAAATCCTATCCAATGGTTCAAGTGAAGTCATATCCAATGGCTCAAGTGAAATCCTATCCAATGGTTCAAGTGAAATCCTATCTAATGGCTCACTGTTAAATTAATCTAATGGTTCAAGTGAAATCCTATCCAATGGCTCAATGGAAATCCTATCCAATGGTTCAAGGAAAATCCTATCCAATAGTTCAAGTGAAATCCTATCCAATGGTTCAAGGAAAATCCTATCCAATGGCTCAAGTGAAATCCTATCCAATGGTTCAAGGAAAATCCTATCCAATGGCTCAAGTGAAATCCTATCCAATGGTTCAAGGAAAATCCTATCCAATGGTTCAAGGGAAATCCTATCCAATGGTTCAAGTGAAATCCTGTCCAATGGTTCAAGGAAAATCCTATTCAACGGCTCAATTTTAATTCAGTCTAATGGTTCAATGGAAATCCTATCTAATGTTTGAAGGGAAATTCTATCCAATGATTCAAGGTTATTCTATCCAATGGTTCAAAGTTAATCCTATCCAATGGTTCAAAATTAATCCTGTCCAATGGTTCAATGGTAATCCTGTCCAATAGTTCAATGTTAAATCAATCTAATGGTTCAAGGGAAATCCTATCTAATGTTTGAAGGGAAATTCTATCCAATGATTCAAGGTTATTCTATCCAATGGTTCAAAGTTAATCCTATCCAATGGTTCAAGGTTAAACCTATCTAATGGTTCAATGTTAATCCTATCCAATGGTTCAATGTTAAATCAATCTAATGGTTCAAGGGAAATCCTATCCTATGGTTCAAGGGAAATCCTATTCAATGGTTCAATGTTAATTCTATCTAATGGTTAAAGGGAAATCCTATCCAACGGTTTATTTGCAAAATTATCCAATGGTTTAGTTCAAATACTAACCAACGGTTCAAGAGGAAAACTATCTAATAACTTAAACAAATTAACCAATGGTACAATTGAAAAAATAACCCATGTTTCAAACGAAATACTATCCAATAATTCTAGTAAAAAAACTATCCAATGGCTCACATGAAAAGCTATCCAATGGTTCAAGGAGTTCAAGGGAAATCCGGTACAATGTTAAAATGAAAAACTATCCAATACACAAAGGAAATCCTATACAACGGTTTTAGGGAAATCATTAAAAAAGTTTAAGCTAAAAGGGTTTAATTTAAAAAACTATCCAACGGTTAGAATAAAAATACAGCACATTAAATTAATTAATTTATTTTTAACCATGTTCAATATATTTGGCGGGATAGTAGAAGAACAATATATGTTAAACAGGACGGAACCTAACTAAGAGTTAGATTGCTCCGCTAGTCAACAGCTGGACGCATTTGTGTTCAGAAAAAGATTTGAAGATGACGGAGAAAAAATAATTTAAATTGTCGCACATTTACAAAAAAGGAGAGAACATTCGACAAAATGAACAAATTAATAAATTACAAAACATGCAAAAAGTTCTAGAGTACAATGTGCCTTTGTTCAGATATTGTAAGTAAAGTCAATATTATTTCCTGGAAAATTTATTACGAGTTTTTGGTTTTCCATTTTGTGGGTTTTGAAAAACCTAAATAACGGAATCGAATCGACACGAAAAGGGTAAAAACAGAAAATAATAAATATAAATGAAAACAATCGAATTTGGCAAATAAGATTACATATGCCGTCCGGCGTATTTAGTGGCTGTGCAATTGCACACCAGTTGATTTGAGGTTAATGTTGAAGATTTATTTGGTTTAGTAATTAGGCAGGGGATTATAGATCAATCAATTCTAATCGGCATTAATTAAAATTTATTGGCATGGGACGTTAGCGGTGCGGAGGGGGGGATAGACAAAACTTACGTGGGCGCAGCGGCGGCCCCCTAGCATGTGCTAGCCGCAGCGCTCGGCCCCTAGCCTGTGCTAGCCGTAGCGCTCGGCACCCTAGCCCATCCTAGCCGCAGTGCTCGGCCCAGAAATTGCCTTAACCTAACCCTCAATAATAAAAAGTAAAAGGAGTTTTGTCTATTCCCCCCCTCCGCACCGCTACGTCCCATGCCAAATTTATTTCACATCATCTTAGACTTTAGCCGTCTATATTCGATATTCCCTACCGAAACCAAACCAAACCATACACGAAAACTGTATTCTTTTTCCAGGGGTATAATTTAACAAACCTTAACTTATTTAATCTATTTTGATACTCACATTGGCCCCCCTTAAATTGTGAAATCAAAGAAAACTTACTTTTTTGTCCCATCTCGAAAAACAAATTTGAAGGGGGTGTAACGATTTAAAAAAAGTGTTGTACCCCCGGCTGTTTTTCAAGTACAACTGCAAATGTACACAAAAAAACAAACAAAAAAAACACCTTTATAAAAAATATGAGGATAAACGAATTAAAAAATGTACAATGTGATGTTTTCCAGGAATCTAATCTTGTAACATGAAGTTAAGTAAAATACACCTTCCACGGTGGTACACTTGCAGTACAGTATTCTTTGATAATAAATATAAAAAATGGCTTTTATCGTATTATGATTGGTAACAATTTTGTTTAATGAACTGGCCCATTTTACAAGATTCCAACATTTTTCTAGTTTTCAACAATTACAAGTAATGAAGTCGCACAGTCAGGAGGGATCTGATGGCATTCTACAGGATGAAACACTTCGGCTTTTTATTGTTATTCTATCACTTTCTCGAGTATCTCTGGTCTCCCTCGGTTTCTGTGCCCCTGCTTCCTCCGAACTTGAGCATGTTCCAGTCGAACACGTAGTCGTAGGTGAATCCTTGCCGGTGGAACAGATTACGGAACAGCTGACGTAAGTAGCTGAAACACAACAAATTAAATTAATGATAAAAAGTAAGAATTATTGAAACCATTGCCAATTTGTCAAGGGTGGTATATATTTTGAAAAATCATTCCCCGTCTTGAAAATATCCCCCCCCTGGAGAAGTTATGAATGTCGCTGAGGGCAAACATTCTATGTTTTTTCTTTTGCTGAATTCGCTGAATGAGTTTTGGAGAAACAAAATAAAATTTTAGATTAAAAGTGTTAAAAAGGATGTAAAACCTGTAGTTTCCCGCCCCATTCTTTAGTGGAGGGATGATTTTCTGATATTTGTCAACTTGTAGAGGGGGGATATCTTCCGATATTAGTGTATTTGTATAGGGAAGGGGGGGGGGGGCTTTAAGTTTACCTGTAGTCCGGTTTCTCCTCGAACCTGAGAGATCTGCAGTAGTTGAGATAAGTCGCGAATTCGCAGGGTGCGCCTTTACACAGAACATCGACAGGGGTCGACATCTTCTTTTCAGAAATACGTTCATATTTTTGCTGCTTCGTCGCAGCTCTTAGTCCTTGCCAGGGCAGTGTCCCCTAAACACAATTAAATTCTAATATTTGGTTCTAGGCCGGATAATTTTAAAAACCTCAAATTTTATAAAAAAAAATTGAAAAGAAAAATTTGAATTGAAAAGGAAAAGTTGTGCTGTATACCGTAGGCTGTTTAAATGTAACCCGATACGTTGATTTCCAATTTAAAAATGGAAACTCAAGATCATTATTAAATCGATATTTAGGATAAACATTTCCAATCAGTGCTTTATCCGGATCCGTAAGGTTTTGACTTCCTGGATCCGGATCTGCAAAAATATGCGGATCCACGGATCCGGATCCAAGGGGTAAAATATCAACCAACCCCTGAAAAAAAACTCTTTTACTCCTAAAACCAAAATCTGAAATTTTGAAAAAAGTGAGATTATAAAGTTTTCCTCATTTCTCAATGGTTCATTAAGTTTTATGATAAAAATAACCGACCAAATTTGAAAGTTATTTACTGTTATAAAAATTCAGTAAATCCTAAAGAAATGACCTGGATCCGGATCCATTTTTTCCAGAGCAGATCCAGGATCCGGATACGGATCCGCATCAAAATCAAATGGATCCTAAGCACTAACAATAATCTAGAAAAATTACACAACAGGAAAGAAAAGGGTAATTTTGGTCTTCCAAAATTAGTTACTTAACGTAAACTTAAGATTGAACTGAGAAGCGCATAGGAAAAATGAAATAAAAAGATATCAGCTTTGTAGCTTGCATTTCCTTAAAATATTTCCCCGAAATATTTTTCTAGAAAAAATTGAACACTAAGCAAAGCCTCTTAACACACAAAAAATCTTTAACGAAACATAAAAGAACTAGGGACATTTCAATTTCATCTTAGCACCGGAAGAGAATCCAAAAACTAGTTTAAAACAAAAAAGTATATGAAAGTAAGAAAGTAATAAAACTTTAAGGAAGTTTAGCACTGTGTGGACAAGAAGTTAACATGGATTAATGGTCCCAGTTTATAATTCAATAATTTATCTTGTTTTGATTTGATCGATGCTCCGTTTTTTAAAATATGTTATTTTGTTATAAGGACTGTCTTTTTATGTTGTAATTTTCTTCCATTTAATGAGGGTCCGGGCATGCCCGATTCATACTGGATTCTAGAAACCTTTGTCTGATCAATAATGTGGAAGATTTGAACAATTTCCTCGTTCGTTTCTTCAGCGGAAATGCAAAAAAACTAACAGGGAACCCACAATTGAAAATAATCAATTTTCAAAGAGAGGATGATGGATTTCTATGCATTTTTGATCAGAAAGAGCTTATTTGGTACCGTTGTGTATCGGATTTGCCACTCTATAAATTGTGTCATGTTAAATAACGTCTACAGTCTTGTGTCATGTTAAATAACGTCTACAGTCTTGTGTCATGTTAAATAACGTCTAAAGTCTTGTCATGTTAAATAACGTCTACAGTCTTGTATCATGATAAATAACGTCTACAGTTTTGTGTCTGATTAAATAACGTCTACAGTCTTGTATCATGTTAAATAACCTCTACAGTCGTCTGATTAAATAACGTCTACAGTCCCTTTAAACTGTTAAACTGTATCTAACCTGGACGAAGTACATGAGAATGTATCCTAAACTCTCCATATCATCTCTCCGACTTTGTTCTATCCCAAGGTGTGTATTGATGCTGGCGTAGCGAGCTGTGCCGGTCAAATTCTTGTTTTCCCGGTAGGATATATGCTGATGGGTTCGGGCATCACGATACTTCTTCGCTAGACCGAAGTCGATGATGTACACGAGATTACCCTTCTTTCCCAGACCCCTGACAACATATTCAGTGAAAAAATAATCACCACCATTTTGAGATTCAGGTTGGTATGTTTTACATAAAATCATTCTCCCCAAAGTAGCCGTAAGGGAACTGAATTAGGGGAAATAAATTAAATGGAAATAAACTTTTCCACTATATCCCCCCCCCTCATATTCATAATTTTTTTCACCCCAGAGGGAAAGAGGGGGGGGTGCATTAGGTGCGTTGTAATTATCAATGAAATAAAGCAGAAAGATAACTTATTTGAAATATGATGTGTAATGAGGTGTAGTCTATTTAACATAGAATTCATAACATAGTATTTTATTTCAGTATTAAAATTATAACAATAATGTTCAATCCTAATACATACAGGGTTACCCACAAAGGATAAGACTGTATAGACGACCCAAACCTCATTAAAATTAACGATTCCGAGGTTAAATAAAGTCTGCCTTGAATATGATCTTTGTGCGACTTATTCAATGATTAGTCAATAAAGAAGTTATAGTTGCAGGGAATCATATATATAAGAAAACAGACAGTATAAATTCTTTACAATAGTCTCTAAAGTCTCATCATTTGTGTGTAACCCTGTATATTAGAGAAAGGATGATAAAAATAATAAAAAAATATTGTTTAGAAGCACAATGTTAGGAAATTATGCCCGCGCCCATTTGAGAATGTATTTTAAATCCAAACTGTTGCGTAATGAGAGATGAGACTAGTAGAGTACATAATAGATTTATATGATCGTCTACAAACTAGCAAAACGGGATTCGTCTCAAAGACTTTCTATTTTCCTATTTTTATACTGATTAATTAATATATTTAAAAAGGTCTTACATGAGGAAGTTGTCAGGTTTTATGTCACGATGAATAAAGTTTTTGCTGTGTATATACTCTATCCTAGAGATAAGCTGATCTGCCAGGAGTAGGACAGTTTTCAGACTAAACCGTCGAGAACAGAAGTTAAACAAATCTTCCAGGCTTGGTCCCAACAGTTCCATTACCATCACATTGTAATCTCCTAAACAGATAATACCGTGGTGAATCGGACTTACCACTCTATAATGGATGGTCATTGGTCATTCGGAATAATGCCTTTGAAGTCCCTTGAAGAATAAAAACAAAAACAAATAGAATTAACTGAGAAACGCAATGACGCAAATAAAAAGAAATAAAATTTGTAATTTGAAAATAAAAATATCAATCACTATAGATCTAAAAGATTTTGTTTGGGGAAAATTTGTATTTAATAGAAATTTTGAAACCTTCTTTTTCAGGACGTATCCGGATCAGGTTGGAAAGGATCCTAAGCACTGATTGAAAACATTACCTTCTGATCCACACCACTTGATAGCAGGTATTCCTACTCCTCCTTGCATTATCCTGTAGAACTTGGATTCTATGTGAAGTTGAGGATGCTTGGTTTTCACACACTCAAGTTTAATCGCAACTAGAAAGAACATAATAATATAATTGGTTTATTAAGAAACGTTAAATAAATGACGGGTTCAACATTGAAAAAAGAGGAAGAAAGGGCAAAGTTTAAGTCAGAACAATGTATAATGTAAGCTTAGCTATGAGATTGAAAAAGAAAAATGATGTGGTTGAATAAGCATGGGTTAAAAATAAAAATAAATCCTCCCTCTCCTCCCCCTCGCGACGAAGAATAAGTTTTGAATCGTTAAGAAAAACTAAACTTTTCTTTATCATTTTAAC